GTGTATTCCACAGCCCACAGCCACTTAAGACACAGACACAAAGCCTCCTTCAGAATAATCCTGTGTGGGCACCTTGGAAACTATTTTATTGGGATAAATGTTTGTAGCCAACAGCCTACTTTAGGTGTATAAAGTGAACTGAGAATGGACTGCTGCTTACATGATATATACCATGATATATACCCAGAGTTGAGGTGCACTAAACTTTCAGAGAACAGTTATTTCCAGTTTTCAACAGCTATATGGCAGGAAATAAGAGGAGAGATAAATGGGCACATTGTATGGTATTCAATTATGCTTTACTCAGAGTAGAACACTGAAATTAATGGACCTAAATTAGTCATGTTCATTAATTTCAATTGGTCTACTCTGAGTATAGCTTAGTTGAATTCCACCTGTAATACAAGTATCCTTGAGCCAGTCAGGTGACTGTTGAGATGTCAGATTCCCATAATACTCTGGGCTACATTTTTCTACCCATCCAACATTTAACGCACTGTCATTTACAAAGTTTCCAAAAGAATCACTCCTTACTGCTCTGTAGATGTCTGTTGAAAGCAAACAAGCTACATGATGTTATTATATGACCAATGCAAAAGTCAACTACAGTCAAATCCGTTCAATCCATGTCTTGGCACATCAATATAAACCTCCATACAAGCCAGTCCTTAGCCTTCATAGGCAAACACAGTTGTTTTATCTACCCCATAATCTAGGAATCAAAGGAACCAGCTTATGTGCATTCATTAAATTTCATCCTTTGCACTTCATCCATCTGTTTCAGACCTTGGAGAACATCTCCATGGATTCATTTTGTTTCCCCAAAGTACAAAAATGTAAGAATCTGGCTCTAATCATACATGACTCTGTATTGATGACTCCATACCTCAATCAACTTATGACGGAAGTGGAATATCTGCTATTAGGCATGCAATGCCACATAATAGCAGACTAATATTTTTGAGATGTTTCTTTCCATCATGTTTGTAGGACAAAGCCTAGAAATTGCTCTCCAGATAGGTATGAAACCCATTATAGGCCATTGTGGAAACAAGACATTACATTTACCCAAAGTGTGCCTCATCTTACGTTTCCTACAACATCTTAAGCATGGTTAAAGGTAAAGAGACCCCTGACCGTTAGGTCCAGTCGGGACCGACTCTGGGGTTGTGGCGCTCATATCACTTTAATTGGCCAAGGAAGCTGGTGCACAGCTTCCGGGTCATGTGGCCAGCATGACTAAGCTGCTTCTGGAGAACCAGAGCAGCGCACGGAAATGCCGTTTACCTTCCCGCTGGAGCGGTACCTATTTATCTACTTGCACTTTGACGTGCTTTCAAACTGCTAGGTTGGCAGGAGCAGGGACCAAGCAACGGGAGCTCACCCCGTCACGGGGATTCGAACCGCCAACCTTCTGATCAGCAAGTCCTAGGCTCTGTGGTTTAACCCACAGCGCCACCCGTAATCATGGTTAGCATTGTGTTATAAAGGAATAGTATGAAAACAGAAAGAGAGGCCTAAGTAAAAGTATAAAAATATACCTTTAATTGCTATAATTTATTCAGGAGTTTGTTTACATATCCAGCCATGAAAATATCATAGCAGCATTGACTGATGAGGTGACTAAGGTTAGTTTAGAACAGGCATCCTCAAACTCGGCCTCCAGCTGTTTTGGGTCTACAATGCTGACCCCAAGAAAATACAAGTAGCTTTAAACTAGTGCTCATGAAGTTCAGCAGCTTTTATTTCTTTGTGGGGCTTGCACATTGGGACACAGCAATCTTCAAAGGAAAAAAGGAGTATCAAATGAAGAAACCATTTCAATTTTTCTAAAAGAAAAGGTTACTCGGTGTAAAAAAAGTGTAGAAAGAAATAACATGCAATAGAGTTTAATTTAAACATGCTCTTTGAAAAGGGGAAAAAAGAGAAGCAGATGTAGCACCTGAGTTAGTGTAGGTCCTGGAAAGGGTGGCAGCTGCTCACTGGCTGGAGTGCCAGCTGGAAGTTCAGAACCTACCAGTGGCCCCTATGAATAGATGGTAAAATTCAAGTTCAGTCACAGAAGAAAAAGATCGTAACATCATATAGAAAAAAGAAAATTCGCTGTAGAAGCTTTAATACTGAAGGAGTACTATTAACAAAATAGAAACAAATTTTTTGACTCAACCACCACAAATAGCATATTATCCCTGAAGATGGGGATATGCTAAAACATGGTCCAGCACTTGGACGCTTTGCCACCTTTTTCTGACTTCCCATTTCTATAGTGTTGCCCCTTCTCTGCTCACTCCCTGGCAACTGCTTGTCTCTCACTAACACTTGGTACAGATTTCCTACCCTCCTACCTGCTACTGGACTGATAGTGGGATCTGGGTTATTTGACTGTAAACATAAAGTGCAGCGAAAGCTATTAGAGGGAACACAACCAACCCCCGTATTTAAGGGAAGTTTAAACAAGGCAATACACAGCCAAGTTTTCACAGAATCATAGAGCCATTAAAATGAATGAATGTGACTAAGGGAGCAACTAATTTCAACAGGTCTACTCTGAGTAAAACTTAGCTGAATACCACCCAGACCAGGTAAAGGCTCTCAAAGGTCAATGCCAGATTTGCCTTTATACTCATTTCATACATGGACCTTTTTTCTACTCATGTTACCTTCCTATATGAAAACTACTCTACACAGAAGCTTGTAAACTCATGTGGCAGTTTTGTTTTGTTTTGTAACACGTAATACTGTACCTAGTTTTCCAGCAGACTGATTGCGGTCCCTGCATAAAATAGTGTCATATGTGATATAGTCCCAAGTGGAGGAAAATACTTTTAGCAGTCTTCTCCAAACAATTCTTAAGATAACGCTGTTATCTCAGATACTCATTCATGAGACACAGTTAGGCACAGCAAACATTACAGAAATCCACAGTGCCTAGTATTACAATCTTATGGCATTCATGCTTAGAAACCTATTACCATTCTACAACAAAGCATCTGTTGTAGCCATTTTGATAGAAACTACTGAATGTGTATTATTGTTTACACACCATGCTATACTGAGAGAAAAAACCTCTCTTCCCATGCAAGTAGTTTGCAATAAGGCATGTCTCAAGCCATCCTTTGATGCACAAGTACATTCAGAAGGTCTGGCTAGCTAAAGTAAGTATTTGTGGATTACGGTTACTGTAATTATTTGCAAGGCTGATCAACCAAAAGTGTAAAAAGGAGCTAACAAATGGACAGATGGTGCATGTTTGGGTTTAGTTGAATTCATAAAAACTAGCAGTCTACTGGGTGTTTTATTAAAAGACGGTTGAACATGCAAAATGCAAGGAAAAACTCAGCTAAGTTACCAAAAAATTGTTAGATAAGAGGCAGTAGAATGAAGCACATCAGTCTCATAGCAAGGTTAGAAAGAACATTCCAGCGACTTCCGTATATAATAATAGAAATGAAAGTTTAAAAGGTAAGGTGTGGGATCTCTGAACACTCTCTCAACTCCCTCTTAAAAATACCGTATTTTTCGTTCTATAGGACGCACCGGTCCATAGGACGCACCTCGTTTTTTGGGGGGGGAAATGAATAAAAAAAATTATTCCCCCCGCGGCTGCCGCCCAAGCCTCGCGTGCTTCGGGCTGCAGGCTACCGCCCAAGCCTCGCACGCTCGGCGGGACCTCCCACCGGGCGCGCAAGGCTTGCAGACATCGCCAAGCACGGGGAGCCCTCCGGAGGGCTCCCGTGCTTCGGGCGACAAGCTGCAGCCCCAAGCCTTGCGCGCTGGGCGGGATCTCCTGCCGGGCGCGCAAGGCTTGCAGACACTCGCCCGAAGCAAGGGAGCCCTCCGGAGGGCTCCCCATGCTCGGGCGACAAGCTGCAGCCCCAAGCCTTGCGCGCTGGGCGGGATCTCCTGCCGGGCGCGCAAGGCTTGCAGACACTCGCCCGAAGCACGGGAGCCCTCCGGAGGGCTCCCGTGCTTCGGGCGACAAGCTGCAGCCCCAAGCCTTGCGCGCTGGGCGGGACCTCCTGCCGGGCGCGCAAGGCTTGCAGACACTCGCCCGAAGCAAGGGAGCCCTCCGGAGGGCTCCCGTGCTTCGGGCGACAAGCTGCAGCCCCAAGCCTTGCGCGCTGGGCGGGACCTCCTGCCGGGCGCGCAAGGCTTGCAGACACTCGCCCGAAGCACGGGAGCCCTCCGGAGGGCTCCCCGTGCTTCGGGCGACAAGCTGCAGCCCCAAGCCTCGCGCGCTGGGCGGGACCTCCTGCCGGGCGCGCAAGGCTTGCGGACACTCGCCCGAAGCACGGGAGCCCTCCGGAGGGCTCCCCGTGCTCGGGCGACAAGCTGCCGCCCGAGCCTCGCGCGCCGGCGGGACCTCCTGCTGGGCGCGCAAGGCTTGCAGACACTCGCCCCAGCACAGGGAGCCCTCCGGAAGGCTCCCCGTGCTTCGGACGACAGGCTGCCGCCCCAAGCCTTGCGCGCTGGGCGGGACCTCCTGCCGGGCGCGCAAGGCTTGCAGACACTCGCCCGAAGCACGGGAGCCCTCCGGAGGGCTCCCCGTGCTTCGGGCGACAGGCTGCAGCCCCAAGCCTTGCGCGCTGGGCGGGACCTCCTGCCGGGCGCGCAAGGCTTGCAGACACTCGCCCGAAGCACGGGAGCCCTCCGGAGGGCTCCCGTGCTCGGGCGACATGCTGCCGCCCGAAGCCTCGCACGCTCGGCGGGACCTCCTGCCGGGCGCGCAAGGCTTGCAGACACTCGCCCGAAGCACGGGAGCCCTCCGGAGGGCTCCCCGTGCTTCGGACGACAGGCTGCCGCCCCAAGCCTTGCGCGCTGGGCGGGACCTCCTGCCGGGCGCGCAAGGCTTGCAGACACTCGCCCGAAGCACGGGAGCCCTCCGGAGGGCTCCCGTGCTTCGGGCGACAGGCTGCTGCCCTAAGCCTCGCGCGCTCGGCGGGACTTCCTGCCGGGCGCGCAAGGCTTGCGGACACTCGCCGGGGCTGCAGGCTGCTGCCTGCAAGCCTTGTGAGCCCGCGGGAACTCCCACCGGGCTTGCAAGGCTTGCGGATAGCTTCCTGAAGCCTGGAGAGCGAGAGGGCCGGTGCGCACCGATGCCTCTCGCTCTCCAGGCTTCAGCGAAAGCCTGCATTCGCTCCATAGGACGCACACACATTTCCCCTTCATTTTTGGAGGGGAAAAAGTGCGTCCTATGGAGCGAAAAATACGGTACATAGCTGTACAAATTTCAGTCTGGAATAATCACTGTGTACAGTACTTTCTGGCAACATGAATGAACTGAAAGTCAGTGCTATCTACTTCGACACTGGACAGTTTTAGGAAACAATTGACTACACAATCTGATACAAATTTCTGTAAACACCACAAATCTTTTATCCATCTCTTTTCCAACTGTAGTTTCCCCTGCAGAATTTATATTGATGGCACAACCCATGTTTATCATAGGACTACAGTTAACATGGCAAGTGTGCCATCAGACTACAAAACCTACTACATACTTTGGCACTTAACATATTCTCTATTTACTGAATGTACATGTCACAAAACAGGCCTCATATGCCCACACAAAAACAGCTAACAATGTGTGTACATGCACGCTCCACATGCATGTTTCTTGTTACATCTTAATAAATTGATGCTCAGCAGCAAACTGCAACAATTGTCTCAATGTTGGTCAGACGTTTGCCTTGCATTTGAAGAAGTTGCCATGGCCATTGGCCACCCAGAATGTGAACTGAAATGAAAACAGCCCATGGTGCTAGCGATACATTACTTCTTCCTTGTTTTGTACACAATGAGGTCATTCAGAAGTCATGGCAAGCACCAATACTTAAGAGGTATGCAAACAAAGGGGGTGGGGGACAGCTGAATTAAAGCACTAAATGCACAGAACTGACCAAGGAAGGAATAGATAAATGTTCCAGGTCAGTCTTAGAAGGCTCCTAGATTAGGATATTTTTAAAAGCATTCATAAGGACACAGAATTCCTTACCGGTGCCCTGCTAAGAGGTGGCTTTGAAGGAGGTGTCCCTGATTTGGCTGTTGCTGATGCCGTACTGCATGTTGTAGTAGTAACACAAGTGACTGGAGTGCCTGCTTGCCCAGGTGTGGCTACTGGAGTCGCAATAGGTAACCCTGTTGGACCAAGAATCAAACTGGCTGGTGGTATACTGGTACTTGCAACAGGTGCCGCAGGTTTTGTGGGCGCAACAGCAGTGGTTGGCAAGCCAGGCATAACTGTAGTCTCCACCACCAGTGATGTCTCCAGGGATACCGATGGGTGAGCTGCTCCAACACCACCATGCTCACTGAAAAGGGACCGGAGCTTTTCTTCCAAGGTCTTTATGTCATCTATGCCGGGTGCTTTGGGTTGACTGTCAACATCCCCTTCCAGGCAGTGAGTATGAGGTTGATTGGCTAATGGAGCTGGTTGAGGCTGACTATGTATTAAAGTCTGCTGGACTGCAGGGACATTCGTTACTGGTTGTGCCAATGGCAGAATGCCAGGTAATACTGGGGTAGAGACAGCACCTGCTGCTGCACCTAAGCTAGATGAGGTAACTGTGGGTGGGATGGGTAGTGGCTGCGAGATAGAGCTAGATATGCTTGATGCTACTGCAGAAGATATAGGTACAGAAACAGGCGCGGGCAGTCCACCTCCGCTGACTTGCTGTGTTTTTTCTGGTGACTGTTCAGTTTTTGACCTTGGCTGCAGCACACTAACTACCACCATTTCAGCTAGGCTGGGTACAGAACCGCTGGTGTTCAACTGTGAAGACTGCGAAACCACGCTCTGTGCTGAAGACACAGGGACCGAAGTTTGAGAAACGGCCGGGGCAGCACTACCAGCACCAACCTGTTGAGATGTTGCAGTTGGTGCCACAACTCCCGATATTGTAATGCTAGGCCTTGTCGTTCCGGCTTGTGGCAATGTTAAAGAAGCAGGGGTGCTAACACTAGGAACAATTTCCCCAACAGCAGAAGCCACCTGGGATGCAGTTGTGGACAAAGAAGAAGGTGCACTGACGCTGGAAGGCACTCCGCTAACGGACTGTGACTGCAACCCTGGTGGTGGAGAGCTGGAGCCAGGCAATTCTTCACCCGACGGAAGCCCTGCTGTCACTTTTTCTGTTGACTGAGTTGCTGGTAAAGAAACACCGGTGGTGGAAGGAACTGAGGCAGAAGGAGTGGGCACTGATGTTGGTGGCAGCCCCCCATTCATGCTTGAACTTAGGCATGGAAAAGGTGGCACAGCCTGGTTAAAAACTGGGGGGGCTGTGCTTGGTCCTTCTGTCGTTTGAGCATGCTTGAGCTCGGAGAAAGCTTGTTGCAGACTGAGTGAAGATGCAGAGTGAGAGAGATTCATTCCAGGGCCATGAGATGGAGAAGCAGCGACTGCAAGGAAGAGAGGTAAAGTCAGCTTCTCTGCAGAAACTTACTGGGTGGTAGTTAATGAAGTTTTACTCGGAGTAGGCCCACTCAATGGGCCTAACTTCGATTTCTGAAAGATATCAAAGGCCATAAGTACTTTCTATAGCAAGAGATTTTTGCACTGACTGCGTCTTCATTTTCTACCTAAAGGAAACTTGGGGGAAGGAGGAACACTGTGGCACAATTAGTTATTTTTCTGATTCCCCTGCTCCCACAGGTTTCAGAAACGGTGAACTACCACAAATTCAAGTCACTGAGGCTTATAAAGTACTGGAAACAAGCATATATATGCAAGATAGCTTATGGATGCAAGAGGCAGCTAGATACCCATTTATGACTAGGAATCCTCATTTTCTATTTCTAATAGTATAACTTTCACAGTACTGCACACTCAAATAGATGGCAACAGTTTATGCCATGCTAATAAAGAAAGAAGGTAGGTTTACTTTCATTTTACCTATATATTTTTACCACAAAGATGGGGAAACTGCAGCCCTTCAGGTGCAGCTGATCTACAACTCCCATCATCCTTGGCTCTGCTAGCTGGGGCTGATGGAAGTTGGTATCTAACAGCAGCTGGAAGGCCAGTGGTTCCCCATCTTTGATTTACAATATTTACAAGCCACCCTACAATAAAGTCCTCAATGCAGCTCACAATAAACAATAAAACCATTCAAAATTCCAACATAAAAAATACAAGAGTCAGATGAAATAAAAACACATTAAAGCTACAGCAAATGAAACCACCTGGATTTTTTGATTTTTTTAAAAATGCATTTGCCTGGTGCTGACACCAAAGTGGTCACCAGGTAAGGACATTCTCTCCCCCATAGCCACTAGTTGCAGCTCATTTGGCTGGATAAACTGAGAAGGGCCACTGAAGAAGAACCCAACACGCAGGTAGGCACACATGGAGACAGACATGCCTTTAGAAACAAATAATAAGTTCATTATTGATACAAGCCCTGTAAAACTGTTTCCTTGAAATCCACACATTCTGTTAGTGGTAAGAGCAGGTTGTGTTGGGAATGGTGATTAACTCACCTATATCAAGCAGCTCACTTTCCGATGGGATAGAAGTGAAAAATCTCTGTTCTCGTAACCTACTTTCGGGTACAGGGCTGACAATAAACCGTCTTCCAGCAGAATGGACAACCTGCGTCAATGAGTTAGGAGGAACACCTAAAGTAACAGAAAAATGTAGGATTACAGTTGTGCAATTTCCTACTGAGCTATGTACAATCTACCACACGGTACTAAATCATGCCGTGACTGTCTTATACTACACCTGGGATACAAACCAGCAATAGAAGCTTGTTAAGAGAATTCAATAGCCCTTACCTATTCTTTGTGGCATAGAAGACACAGGATCTGGCTGTTTGAAGTCTCCATCCAATTTCTGCAACAAATGAAATGATTATTTTTCTACATAATCCCAGCATTCGACCACTAAATACACTGATGGCCATGTCTGGGTGAAATGGTAAATTCTGGTTTAGTTCTAGGTAAACCTCCTATGGGGCTTGTGTACTCCCTTCCACTTACACGGCCAAGGAGGAGTCGTTTCATGGCTTTCATAATTTCTTTATCATTAAGACTTTAGCTCAAGTTGATAGATAACTTTTGCCAAGACTGCTTGTTGGAAGAAAGAGCAGTAGAAAGACGCATAGACCTTGTGGCAGAAGGCATGAGTGCATACAGTAAGACAAACCCTTACCTGGTTATGCATACTGTCCATGCTCTGGTCACCTTCTGGTTCCCCACTTGCATCCTCACTGAGCATTTCATCTGCCTTTTCTATGATGTCACGCACCTGCTCTACAAATGAATCCCTCTCCATTGCCAAGATGAATTCATTTTGCACCTGCATAAAATTTGGAATTGTGGTAAGTACAGACATGTCACCTTCCACTCATCTGAGCAAGTAACAGCAGCAGTTCAGGCGGAAGCACCAAAAGGAAAACTACCGTATTTTTCGCTCCATAGGACGCACTTTTTCCCCTCCAAAAATGAAGGGGAAATGTGTGTGTGTCCTATGGAGCGAATGCAGGCTTTCGCTGAAGCCTGGAGAGCGAGAGGCATCGGTGCGCACCGACCCCTCTCGCTCTCCAGGCTTCAGGAAGCTATCCGCAAGCCTTGCAAGCCCGGTGGGAGTTCCCGCGGGCTCACAAGGCTTGCAGGCAGCAGCCTGCAGCCCCGGCGAGTGTCCGCAGCCTTGCGCGCCCGGCAGGAAGTCCCGCCGAGCGCGCGAGGCTTGGGGCAGCAGCCTGTCGCCCGAGCACGGGAGCCCTCCGGAGGGCTCCCGTGCTTTGGGCGAGTGTCTGCAGCCTTGCGCGCCCGGCAGGAGGTCCCGCCGAGCGCGCGAGGCTTGGGGCGGCAGCCTGTCGCCGAAGCACGGGAGCCCTCCGGAGGGCTCCCGTGCTTCGGGCGAGTGTCTGCAAGCCTTGCGCGCCCGGCAGGAGGTCCCGCCGAGCGTGCGAGGCTCGGGCGGCAGCTAGTCGCCCGAAGCACGGGGAGCCCTCCGGAGGGCTCCCCGTGCTCGGGCGAGTGTCTGCAAGCCTTGCGCGCCCGGTGGGAGGTCCCGCCGAGCGCGCGAGGCTTCGGGCGGTAGCCTGCAGCCCGAAGCACGCGAGGCTTGGGGCGGCAGCCGCAGGGGGGGGGAATAATTTTTTTTATTCATTTCCCCCCCCCCAAAAAAACGAGGT